GCTCGGTCTGTACATTAAGGCTCGGTCTGTACATTAAGGCTCGGTCTGTGCATTAAGGCTCGGTCTGTGCATTAAGGCTCGGTCTGAGCATTAAGGCTCGGTCTGTGCATTAAGGCTCAGTCTGAGCATTAAGGCTCGGTCTGTGCATTAAGGCTCGGTCTGAGCATTAAGGCTCGGTCTGTGCATTAAGGCTCGGTCTGTACATTAAGGCTCGGTCTGTGCATTAAGGCTCGGTCTGTACATTAAGGCTCGGTCTGTGCATTAAGGCTCGGTCTGTACATTAAGGCTCGGTCTGTACATTAAGGCTCGGTCTGTACATTAAGGCTCAGTCTGAGCATTAAGGCTCGGTCTGTGCATTAAGGCTCGGTCTGTGCATTAAGGCTCGGTCTGTACATTAAGGCTCGGTCTGTACATTAAGGCTCGGTCTGTGCATTAAGGCTCGGTCTGTACATTAAGGCTCGGTCTGTACATTAAGGCTCGGTCTGTGCATTAAGGCTCGGTCTGTACATTAAGGCTCGGTCTGTACATTAAGGCTCGGTCTGTGCATTAAGGCTCGGTCTGTGCATTAAGGCTCGGTCTGTGCATTAAGGCTCGGTCTGTGCATTAAGGCTCGGTCTGAGCATTAAGGCTCGGTCTGTGCATTAAGGCTCGGTCTGTGCATTAAGGCTCGGTCTGTGCATTAAGGCTCGGTCTGTGCATTAAGGCTCGGTCTGTGCATTAAGGCTCGGTCTGTACATTAAGGCTCGGTCTGTGCATTAAGGCTCGGTCTGTACATTAAGGCTCGGTCTGTACATTAAGGCTCGGTCTGTGCATTAAGGCTCGGTCTGTACATTAATGCTCGGTCTGTACATTAAGGCTCGGTCTGTACATTAAGGCTCGGTCTGTGCTCGGTCTGTGCATTAAGGCTCGGTCTGTGCTCGGTCTGTACATTAAGGCTCGGTCTGTGCAGTAAGGCTCGGTCTGTGCTCGGTCTGTGCATTAAGGCTCGGTCTGTGCAGTAAGGCTCGGTCTGTGCTCGGTCTGTACATTAAGGCTCGGTCTGTGCTCGGTCTGTGCATTAAGGCTCGGTCTGTACATTAAGGCTCTGTCTGTGCATTAAGGCTCTGTCTGTGCATTAAGGCTCGGTCTGTACATTAAGGCTCTGTCTGTGCATTAAGGCTCGGTCTGTACATTAAGGCTCTGTCTGTGCATTAAGGCTCGGTCTGTGCATTAAGGCTCGGTCTGTACATTAAGGCTCGGTCTGTGCATTAAGGCTCGGTCTGTGCATTAAGGCTCGGTCTGTGCATTAAGGCTCGGTCTGTGCATTAAGGCTCGGTCTGTACATTAAGGCTCGGTTTGTGCATTAAGGCTCGGTCTGTGCATTAAGGCTCTGTCTGTACATTAAGGCTCTGTCTGTACATTAAGGCTCGGTCTGTACATTAAGGCTCGGTCTGTACATTAAGGCTCGGTCTGTGCATTAAGGCTCGGTCTGTACATTAAGGCTCGGTTTGTGCATTAAGGCTCGGTCTGTACATTAAGGCTCGGTCTGTACATTAAGGCTCGGTCTGTGCATTAAGGCTCGGTCTGTACATTAAGGCTCGGTTTGTGCATTAAGGCTCGGTCTGTACATTAAGGCTCGGTCTGTACATTAAGGCTCGGTCTGTGCATTAAGGCTCGGTCTGTGCATTAAGGCTCGGTCTGTGCATTAAGGCTCGGTCTGTACATTAAGGCTCGGTCTGTACATTAAGGCTCGGTCTGTGCATTAAGGCTCGGTCTGTGCATTAAGGCTCGGTCTGTACATTAAGGCTCGGTCTGTGCATTAAGGCTCGGTCTGTGCATTAAGGCTCGGTCTGTACATTAAGGCTCGGTCTGTACATTAAGGCTCGGTCTGTACATTAAGGCTCGGTCTGTGCATTAAGGCTCGGTCTGTACATTAAGGCTCGGTCTGTGCATTAAGGCTCGGTCTGTGCATTAAGGCTCGGTCTGTGCATTAAGGCTCGGTCTGTGCATTAAAGCTCGGTCTGTACATTAAGGCTCGGTCTGTACATTAAGGCTCGGTCTGTACATTAAGGCTCGGTCTGTACATTAAGGCTCGGTCTGTGCATTAAGGCTCGGTCTGTACATTAAAGCTCGGTCTGTACATTAAGGCTCGGTCTGTACATTAAAGCTCGGTCTGTACATTAAGGCTCGGTCTGTACATTAAGGCTCAGTCTGTACATTAAGGCTCGGTCTGTGCATTAAGGCTCGGTCTGTACATTAAGGCTCGGTCTGTGCATTAAGGCTCGGTCTGTACATTAAGGCTCGGTCTGTGCATTAAGGCTCGGTCTGTACATTAAGGCTCGGTCTGTGCATTAAGGCTCGGTCTGTGCATTAAGGCTCGGTCTGTACATTAAGGCTCGGTCTGTGCATTAAGGCTCGGTCTGTGCATTAAGGCTCGGTCTGTACATTAAGGCTCGGTCTGTGCATTAAGGCTCGGTCTGTACATTAAGGCTCGGTCTGTACATTAAGGCTCGGTCTGTGCATTAAGGCTCGGTCTGTACATTAAGGCTCGGTCTGTGCATTAAGGCTCTGTCTGTGCATTAAGGCTCGGTCTGTGCATTAAGGCTCGGTCTGTGCATTAAGGCTCGGTCTGTGCATTAAGGCTCGGTCTGAGCATTAAGGCTCGGTCTGTGCATTAAGGCTCGGTCTGTACATTAAGGCTCGGTCTGTGCATTAAGGCTCGGTCTGTACATTAAGGCTCGGTCTGTACATTAAGGCTCGGTCTGTACATTAAGGCTCGGTCTGTACATTAAGGCTCGGTCTGTGCATTAAGGCTCGGTCTGTGCATTAAGGCTCGGTCTGTGCATTAAGGCTCGGTCTGTGCATTAAGGCTCGGTCTGTGCATTAAGGCTCGGTCTGATATTTCTCCGTACAGACCTCGCGCTCGGTTAATAAGCCGTTAATATCTACCATCATATCTACCACATTATTAAACACGTTACTAGTATTTTATACCAAACTGTTCTGAAACACCACTGTTCCATTCAGTTTACAAAACATTAGAATTTTTTTTTTTTTTTTTAAACTGCTCTAAATTCTGTTGGATCATCAAACTGGTCTGACGGGTTTTGGTTCTTTATTACCAAAACTATTTAACACAATACTCAGATTTATGAAACTGTTAGATCTCCCAGAGCCGCCATTTTGACTGCTCCTGTTCAAACTGATGGAACCACAAGAAATTCTTTTTACCTTGAATCTATTTTACTAAGACTGGTGAATGTAGCTGCAAATAGCAACTGAATGCTAAGCTACCAAATGCTAACAGTGTGTTGCTAAAAGAGACTAACGTTAAAATAATGGCGTAGAAATAAACTAAACATAGAAACAGATAAAGTCACAGAGCGATCTGGTGTTCACTGTTTTTGTAAATAAAGTTCCGATCATAAATTAAATGCAATCAAGAATAGGTTTGTTTTGACGTTTGATTTTCCAATGATTTCTGTCGCTCTTAAACGCGTCGCTGTCTCATGAGGATCCACCTCACGCCTTCACGTTCTCCTGACACGGTTTCTCTTTCTGTTGGTGGTAAAGTCCAGCCCCGTGCACACAGATGTGCGTCCTTAGAAACCAGGTTAAAGGATTGGTTTGGGCCCGTCCTAAACACAGTAACAGTGAAAGTGTGGAGTGGATCCTTCGGAGCAGAAACCGTTACACACAAGTTACTTTCAATTCATTCCAAACGGAGTCATCTCTCGTGTTCTGTCTGTGGTTCTGAGAAACAACAGCAGTTTGAAGGTTTGCTCAAGTTTCTTCAGAAAAAGTGTTATTCCCAACGATGTTTACTGCGTGTGTCAAGTTTTACTCTGAAAAAGAAAACATTCTGAAGCATTTGGGAGAAAGTCAACGAAACTCAAAACCCAACATTGAAGAAACTCGAGCGTTGTTAATTAAAGCTGACCACAAACGAGTGATGTCACATGATCCATGACATCAGAAGCTCGAGCACTCAGACCTGCTCCTATTTATAGTTTTAGATCCGTTGGCCTCGGTCACATGTTTACATTCACCAGATCCTCCAATCACATCTCAGTGTGTAACAGTGTGTGTTATATTTGCATGTTCTCTCCATGTATGTGTAGATTTTGTTTCGCCGACCACAAACACAAAAACACACCGAAAATAAGATAACTCTTCATGGTCTCAAAGTGGGGAAATTTCAATGTTGCAGCGCACAGACAGGACAGTAGTGAGCTGTGACTGTTCTGAGCGAGTGGAACATGGATGACCTGGGCAGGAGTGACCCATTACTGCACGGGTCAAATGCAGAGGAGACATTTCCCTTCGTAGACAATAGAATTAGTGCATTTGTGTAAAGCAGTAAATCTAAGAAATGTAAGAATACTTAGAATTACTACTTTATACAAGTGCACCCAGAAATGGGATGTAGATGTTTCCTTTCATGAATGCCTCATTCTATTTTTACTTTTATAACTTGTTTGTGCCGAGACCCAAAGCAATTTCTGGGTTTGTGATTTCCCGATACTCATAACGGCAATATAAATAATTCTGAAAACTTAATAGGATAAAGACAGTATGTTTTCCTTTCATGGCAATGCAACAAAATACCACCGCAATCCAGAAAGTACGAAAGTAAAACATTCTATGATAAAGAACAGGATGAAGACAAACCTCTGCAACATTCTTATACATTTACAAAGCAGATGTAGTTGTGGTGTGATTTGTAGATTCAGTAACATCCTTCTTCACCTTCACCTGAGTCCAGTCCGGTCTCTCTTCAGTGAACACATATTTCTGGCCCTCGCAGACTCGTCTCGTGCTGAGGGACAGATCGGGAACACTCGGTGACAAACGCTGCCTCCGCTGTCACTGGGACGAGGCCAGACCCTGTTTAACCCGCCTTGAGGCCCCTGTCTCCGCCGCCTCCGCCGCCTCAGCCCCCACTGCCCCCTCAGCCGCCTCTGCCCCCACTGCCCCCTCTGCCCCCACTGCCCCAGGGCCCAATACCATTTGTTTGTGTCATGTCAGGAGCGGAGCCTCAAGGCTCGCCGCTCCCGCGATCATGCAGACGCTGTGACACCAAGCAAACGGTGGAAAACACGTCTGTCACGGGTCACAGTGTAAGTGTGAGAGAGAGAGCCACCTGCGAGGAGAGAGAGGCGCCTGCGAGGAGAGAGAGGCGCCTGCAAGAAGAGAGAGAGGCGCCTGCGAGGAGAGAGAGGCGCCTGCGAGGAGAGAGAGGCGCCTGCGAGGAGAGAGAGGCGCCTGCGAGGAGAGAGAGGCGCCTGCAAGGAGAGAGAGGCGCCTGCAAGGAGAGAGAGAGGCGCCTGCAAGGAGAGAGAGAGGCGCCGAGAGAGAGGCGCCTGCAAGGAGAGAGAGGCGCCTGCGAGGAGAGAGAGAGGCGCCTGCAAGGAGAGAGAGGCGCCTGTAAGGAGAGAGAGAGGCGCCTGCGAGGAGAGAGAGGCGCCTGCGAGGAGAGAGAGAGGCGCCTGCGAGGAGAGAGAGAGGCGCCTGCGAGGGAGAGAGAGGCGCCTGCAAGGAGAGAGAGAGGCACCTGCAAGGAGAGAGAGGCGCCTGCAAGGAGAGAGAGAGGCGCCTGCGAGGAAAGAGAGGCGCCTGCGAGGAGAGAGAGAGGCGCCTGCGAGGAGAGAGAGAGCCTCCTGCGAGGAGAGAGAGGCGCCTGCAAGGAGAGAGAGAGGCGCCTGCAAGGAGAGAGAGAGAGGCGCCTGCGAGGAGAGAGAGGCGCCTGCGAGGAGAGAGAGAGCCTCCTGCGAGGAGAGAGAGAGCCTCCTGCGAGGGAGAGAGAGGCGCCTGCGAGGAGAGAGAGAGAGCCACCTGCGAGGAGAGAGAGAGCCACCTGCGTGGAGAGAGAGAGCCTCCTGCGAGGAGAGAGAGAGCCTCCTGCGAGGAGAGAGAGAGGCGCCTGCGAGGAGAGAGAGAGAGCCTCCTGCGAGGAGAGAGAGAGCCTCCTGCGAGGAGAGAGAGAGCCTCCTGCGAGGAGAGAGAGAGCCTCCTGCGAGGAGAGAGAGAGCCTCCTGCGAGGAGAGAGAGAGGCGCCTGCGAGGAGAGAGAGAGAGCCACCTGCGAGGAGAGAGAGCCACAGGTAATTAAACTCTGCTGCTCTGATGGCGCTAACGGCGAAGACTCTGGATTAACAACTGAGAGTGGAAGTGGTGAAGAAGGAGTGAAACAAGAATGGATTGAATGGAAAACACTAAAGTCCAACGTGGAAAATACAAAAAATAAATATATCTAAATACAGGAACGACAAAAACACAAAGTCAAATGGACCGGTAACAAAAACACAAAGTCAAATGGGCCGGTAACAAACGGGAGCTCAGGGACGTGTGGACCGAGACACAGGGACAAACATGTCGGGATGGAGCAGGAGCCAATGGGGAACAAGACATGGAGAGAACTGATGAAACCAAATCAACACAAAAAGGTGGACCGTGTTAGAGTGATTTCAGATTGGATTCTCTCAAACTGGCAACAAATAGAACACATTTTTGTGGATGGGGCCAATGGGGGGTCAGGTCCTTTGATTTTAAATCCAAATAATTGTCGGTGCTCACTGTGTACTTTTAGCAAAAATGCTTTTAGTAAATCCCTTTATTGGAATTTTTCTCTCTTTAAAAGCCTTAATTCTTCATGTTTTATCCATGTTTAAAAAATCTGTAATTATTCTAGTGAAACTTGAGTGTGTGAAAAGGTGGAATAACTCTGGACTTTAATGAACTCTTTTGTTAAACTCTTTTAAACTCGTTTCTGCATTTTTAAAGCGACACTGATTCAAAGCCTTGAGAGGGAAGTGTTTCGTCAGTAATTGTTGCTTAATTGAAGAAAGCAAAAGCTAAACAACATGTCAACCCGGTGCAGAGCCGTCGTGTTGCTACATTAACCTGAGAGAACATGTAATCTGTCATCTGTGCCAGATTATCAATACGTGTTTGTGTTTCGTCCAGATTCCCGCCTGTTCCCGCCTGTTCCCGCCTGTTCCCGCCTGTTACAGCTTACCAAGCATGTTCCCACCATATGTTGCTCTGGTGCCAGAATACATTTCATGATAAAAAAGAAAGTGCAGCCTCAGTCCTTTTCCCGGTGCATAAAATCCCACTTGCGAGTCCCGTGTTCGCCGGTGCACGCTCCGACTTTTGGAAAAGGCAGGATTTTCTCAGCCCTTTGATCCTCTTTTGCAAACCTGCAATGGGAGCAAATAAGCTTTTTCTGGCTGTAGTCTCTATGACAGATAGTGCTGGCCCCGTGTCGGCCGCGCCTGCCTCTCTGCACATATATTTTCCGGTGGAATATGGTGGTGTCCAAAAGGCAGTGGTGCATGATGGGTATGCAATCAGCGCGCTCTCCCAGGACTCTCCCCTTTACGTAGTAGGGGCCCTTTGAAGTGTGCTTGCAGTAAACACACAACGCACTCCCTCTCCCACCGCCGCCGCCGCCGCCGTGTCTCCGGGGGAAGAAGATTCAGCACAAGAACACTAATGAGCGCATTAGAAGTGAGCCGTAGAGCAGAATGTTGCGGCTCTAAATGGAATTGTCTTTGCTGTTTGTAGATGCACCGTCTACACTATTCCTCTCTGTGTGGGATTGCATTTGTCTGCATGCATTAATCCTGAGTATTATCTACTGTAAATGTTCCATATTGGCCCCTGAAGTCCCATCACACGCCGCTATTTGGTTTGGTAATTCCTTTTTAACACCATTTTGAAGACATTTTTAAGGGTATGTTTGTTTTCACAGCTGGGAGAACCTTTGTTATGCAGCGATGTGAGTCTATGTTTCAAAGACTAAAGGGTTATTGGGAAAACAGCAGTTAGCGTTAGCAAGACTAGCTCGGCCCTTCAAGTAGATAGAGACTCAAAGTGATCCACCAAATGGTTAATGCAAAGTTACGAGACGCCTTTGAAAGCGTCACAAAGCTCCATCTCCTCACATGAAGGCGGGACTTTTACCTGCACGAAAAAAAAACAATAATAACTTTTCAATCCAATACAACCAAATGCAGGTCTCGAAATGTGCTGCTTAAGGTGAAGGTATACCGTATTTTTCGCACTATTAGGCACACAAGTCTTATTATCCGGTACACCTTATATATGAAACTAAAGGCATAATTTGATAATGTGCTTTATAATCAGGTGCGCCTAATAGTGCGAAAAATACGGTATTTAGAAAGAATGTGTAGTTTTTGTGAATAACCTGTGGCTTTAGCTGCTTTTCAAAGTCTTCATGAAATCATAACAATCTGAAAAGTCTGAAGCAAGTTGTGCAGCTTTTCCAAAGAAAATCCAATGTTAAAAGTTGATAAAAAAGTTGTGAACATGCAATAGTTTGATGTGGTCGGACTGAGGTGTCTGGAAAGTTGTCTTGGGAAAGGTCTGAGAGCGAGAGACGAGAACGATTTGAAAGACTTCAGGATGAATCATCTTCTCTCTGCAGCGGCCATTAGTGCCTTTTATATCAGGATTCTACCTCTGCCTCCGATGTCTGAAGTCCAGCCCTAAAGTCAGGAGTTGGTCTGTTTAAGGAGCTGAAGGCAATGGGGAGACGCTTTAGTGTTTTACTGTGACTCTGTTTTGTACTTTACAGAAAAACTATAGACGTTTTTTCAGAACTTTTCCTTTTTAAGTTTTTGTCTTTAAAATGTGTTGTTGGAATGGATCATTTTATAGATGAATATGTTTGAACTCATTTAAATCAGGCATATCCAAGGGCAGCTTCTGTCGTCAACACTCTCAAGTGTGGGCGGCACGGTGGCTGAGTGGTTAGCACTCTCGGTTCTCGGCAAGAAGGTCCTGGGTGCGAATCCCGGTCGGAACAGGGCCTTTCTGAGTGGAGTTTGCATGTTCTCCCTGTGTCTGTGTAGGTTTCCTCCGGGTGCTCCGGTTTCCCCTACCACTAAAAACATGCACAATAGGTCTGAATGTAAATGAGAGAGTGAATGATGGTGTTGGAGCTGATGGTCCAGTGTGTTCTGGACTCGCTTCTGTCATCACCGTGTGTGGAAGGATTGGAACAATATCTGACTCTGAACATTGGAAAGAGCTTTGGGTCTGTACCTTGGTCTGTAACATGTGCTATATAAATATACATTACTTACTTACTTACTCAAGTAGCCAGGTATGTTCAGTGTCACCCAGCCAACTTCCGCCCCACCAGTATATTCAGGCTATACCTCGCATCTGTTGCCATGACAGTTGCCGTGTCAGGGATTAGGCCTGGATCATGTCTGGATCATGTCTGGATTTACAAAGACAACATCAAAACAAAACACCACCATCACAGCAACAACAAAAGAGAGACGGAGCTCAGCTTTGTCCATAAATATACAGCCTACAAGGTTTTACAGAAGCACCTGTAGAGGCACCTGTAGAAGTACCTACAGAAGCACCTGTAGAGGCACCTGTAGAAGTACCTACAGAAGCACCTGTAGAAGTACCTACAGAAGCACCTGTAGAGGCACTTGTATAAGCACCTGTAGAAGCACCTGTAGAAGTACCTACAGAAGCACCTGTAGAGGCACTTGTAGAAGCACCTGTAGAAGCACCTGTAGAAGCACCTGTAAAAGCACCTGTAGAGGCACCAGTAGAAGCACCTACAGAAGCACCTGCAGGCACTTGTAGAAGCACCTGTAGAAGCACCTGTAGAGGCACCTGTAGAAGCACCTGTAGAAGCACCTGTAGAGGCACTTGTTGAAGCACCTGTAGAAGCACCTGTATCTGTGGGTCTGACAGCTTTATGTTGGAAGGTGATTGGTTCTGGCCCGACTTGCTGTGCCTGACATATTTAACTATATTTCTCCTGTCGATGCGATGAAAAGGAACCTGTGAGACACTGACAGTGACGCTCGAGGCCAAACACATCCACAACATCTGCTGCTGGACGTGACCCGCACCAAAGGCCTGAAACTGAATACTCACAGGTCTGATTCAGACCAGGGACTGGACAGAATCCACATCTGTGCTTTCATAAGGTCTCAGTGTAAACTTAAAGCTGGGGTATCAAACTAACATTAATGATTCATATTTGAGTGTTGTAAAAGTAAAATATTGTGAACAAACCAGATTCTTCTTATTGGAAAACATTAAATATTTTGCATTTTTGTCAGAGAGAGCCCTGTTTGATGCTTTGGGCTGAGAGCTGATTGGCTGAGAGCGTATTGGCTGAGAGCGTATTGGCTGAAAGCTGATTGGCTGAGAGCGTATTGGCTGAGAGCTGATTGGCTGAGAGCGTATTGGTTGAGAGCGTATTGGCTGAGAGCTGATTGGCTGAGAGCGTATTGGCTGAGAGCTGATTGGTCCACTCGAGTTCTCTAATCAGTCTGACAAAGCTGATGCAGTGAAAGATGGTGATAGTTGGATTTTCTTACATTTTGTTTTAGTTTGAAACATCAGTACTTCAGCTTTAATAAGTTTGTTCATGATTACATTTGATTGTCTGCAGTTTCCATAATCAGATCTTATATAATTACAGATTCATTAAGTCTTGTTTAGAGCTTTGTTTTGGATTTCTTATTGCCATTTAGTAAAAATACAGCTCACATCATCCTTACGTTACCCTCATTCTCTGTATCAGTCCATAACCCTGGGGTTCCTGCAGGTTGGGGTCCACAGGAGGATGCCTTGGTTTTTAGTGGGGTGTCAGGCAGTGGGGATAAGTGTCTTGCTCAGGGACACAGTGACAGTGGGATAAGTGTCTTGCTCAGGGACACAGTGACAGTGGGATAAGTGTCTTGCTCAGGGACACAGTGACAGTGGGATAAGTGTCTTGCTCAGGGACACAGTGACAGTGGGATAAGTGTCTTGCTCAGGGACACAGTGACAGTGGGATAAGTGTCTTGCTCAGGGACACAGTGACAGTGGGATAAGTGTCTTGCTCAGGGACTGCACGACTTCCTTCAGTTCCATAGAAATGTAGTGTTTTGACGGAGCAGACTTGTGTCCCTCGTGACCATCACTAAAGACATCATTTGTCGGAGCGATGAGCAGTGAACTAAATAACGTTTATTTCTGATCAGAATAATGCAGTGTCATCCAAACATGTTCTTTATTCATGGCTTTGTCCAACTTTGCAAAACAAGAGATTTGAAATATTCTCCAAAGCCCTCAGTCACTATAGGTCAGTTGTTATGTCCCCATGAAATGTGCACAATGGTTTGGAAAGACACATAGCCCTGTTTCCACCAGCCTCACTGACCTCACTGTGTCCTGAGACCCTCCTGCAGCAACGAGGAACCGCTCAAAACAGAATAAAACATGTCTCATCTTCTACGAAAAGTACAAATGTAATTCTCTAAACCCAGGTCGTGTGCGAGAGGGACCAACATGTGTGAAGTGCTTTAATGGAGGCCTAGATTAGTGTGTGTGTGTGTGTGTGTGTGTGTGTGTGCGTGTGTGTGTGTGTGTGTGTATGTCCTGACAGCTGCATATTTCAGTGAGGAGCTGCATTGCGGAGCTACAGGGTCAGAGCTGAGCACATAAAGCACCGGGGAGTGGGCCGCGAGCTTCACCTGCGACGCTTTGACACAGTCTCTCAGCTGCTGCTCCACCACACTCATGTGTTCATGATCCTCCCTCCTGGACTCTGCTCATGTGTTCATGATCCTTCCTCCTGGACTGTGCTCATGTGTTCATGATCCTTCCTCCTGGACGCTGTCATGTGTTCATGATCCTCCCTCCTGGACTCTGCTCATGTGTTCATGATCCTCCCTCCTGGACTCTGCTCATGTGTTCATGATCCTTCCTCCTGGACTCTGCTCATGTGTTCATGATCCTTCCTCCTGGACTCTGCTCATGTGTTCATGATCCTTCCTCCTGGACTGTGCTCATGTGTTCATGATCCTTCCTCCTGGACGCTGTCATGTGTTCATGATCCTCCCTCCTGGACTCTGCTCATGTGTTCATGATCCTTCCTCCTGGACTGTGCTCATGTGTTCATGATCCTCCCTCCTGGACTCTGCTCATGTGTTCATGATCCTCCCTCCTGGACTGTGCTCATGTGTTCATGATCCTTCCTCCTGGACGCTGTCATGTGTTCATGATCCTCCCTCCTGGACTCTGCTCATGTGTTCATGATCCTCCCTCCTGGACTCTGCTCATGTGTTCATGATCCTTCCTCCTGGACTGTGCTCATGTGTTCATGATCCTTCCTCCTGGACTGTGCTCATGTGTTCATGATCCTTCCTCCTGGACGCTGTCATGTGTTCATGATCCTCCCTCCTGGACTCTGCTCATGTGTTCATGATCCTCCCTCCTGGACTCTGCTCATGTGTTCATGATCCTTCCTCCTGGACTGTGCTCATGTGTTCATGATCCTTCCTCCTGGACGCTGTCATGTGTTCATGATCCTCCCTCCTGGACTCTGCTCATGTGTTCATGATCCTCCCTCCTGGACTCTGCTCATGTGTTCATGATCCTCCCTCCTGGACTCTGCTCATGTGTTCATGATCCTTCCTCCTGGACTGTGCTCATGTGTTCATGATCCTTCCTCCTGGACGCTGTCATGTGTTCATGATCCTCCCTCCTGGACTCTGCTCATGTGTTCATGATCCTCCCTCCTGGACTCTGCTCATGTGTTCATGATCCTCCCTCCTGGACTCTGCTCATGTGTTCATGATCCTTCCTCCTGGACTCTGCTCATGTGTTCATGATCCTTCCTCCTGGACGCTGTCATGTGTTCATGATCCTCCCTCCTGGACTCTGCTCATGTGTTCATGATCCTCCCTCCTGGACTCTGCTCATGTGTTCATGATCCTTCCTCCTGGACTGTGCTCATGTGTTCATGATCCTTCCTCCTGGACTGTGCTCATGTGTTCATGATCCTCCCTCCTGGACTCTGCTCATGTGTTTATGATCCTTCCTCCTGGACTCTGCTCATGTGTTCATGATCCTTCCTCCTGGACTCTGCTCATGTGTTCATGATCCTCCCTCCTGGACTCTGCTCATGTGTTCATGATCCTCCCTCCTGGACTGTGCTCATGTGTTCATGATCCTCCCTCCTGGACGCTGTCATGTGTTCATGATCCTCCCTCCTGGACTCTGCTCATGTGTTCATGATCCTCCCTCCTGGACTCTGCTCATGTGTTCATGATCCTTCCTCCTGGACTGTGCTCATGTGTTCATGATCCTTCCTCCTGGACTGTGCTCATGTGTTCATGATCCTTCCTCCTGGACTCTGCTCATGTGTTCATGATCCTCCCTCCTGGACTCTGCTCATGTGTTCATGATCCTTCCTCCTGGACTGTGCTCATGTGTTCATGATCCTTCCTCCTGGACTGTGCTCATGTGTTCATGATCCTTCCTCCTGGACTGTGCTCATGTGTTCATGATCCTTCCTCCTGGACGCTGTCATGTGTTCATGATCCTTCCTCCTGGACTGTGCTCATGTGTTCATGATCCGTGCAGAAATGTTGTGTTTGAGAACCCTGAGACGTGGTTCTCGACAACACAACACAGGAAGTAGATATTATTCTTAAACTGCAAACATTATACAGAATAAGGTCATAAAAGCTTTAGTGTTTTTATCTTAGTTTGAGAACATCTACTTGTATTTTGTATATTCTGTGTCTCTCACTACTGTCCTGTCTGTGCGCTGCAACACTGAAATTTCCCCACTGTGGGACGTTTAAAGGATCTCTATCTAATCTTATTTGGACTTTGTTAAAACAAGCCATTTAGTCTTATTTCAAGTTCTGTTTTTTGAACTTTCTTGTATCTTTTTAAAACAATATTTTTTTGCTTGTTCCACTGGAAACTTTTGTCAAAATCTGCTTCATCTAATATTTAAAAAACAGTTGATTCAAGTATTTTTTACCTTGTATTGTATCATTTGTGATTGTTACGTTGATTACATTTTTCTCCTGGTCATAGCAGATGTATTTCGGGCTTTAAACCCACACACTCATCTACATTTATAAACAAGTGTGAGCAATAACAGACTTTAGACTAAACAGATATAAAACATCTTCTCTTCCCTTTGGTCTCGTGCTCTGAGCTTGTATCAGACGTCTTCCATTGTCGCTGTGGCTCGTTAGTTTCATAAATGTCCAAGAAAAACAATATCCAGTGGTTTTTTCCAAAGTATAATCCAGTTTGGAGAAATAATCCAGAAATGTGTGATTATCTTCAGCAGAAAAAAACTTAATTGTAGAAAGTTTTCATGGGTCTTTTTCATCTTCTTCAAAGAAACATGGATTACAATCTACAGATCTGTGGTTTTATGTTTGTACTGTCTGTAGTTTGTAACGCAGAGAAAGGACCTAAAGGGTCAGGGTTCACAGCTGGAACTTGTGATGGTTTGATTCCGGGTCATTTCTTTTTGGTCCTACTTTGTTACTGTAGTTAAAAAGAACATTTCCATAGTCTGTATGGATTTGTTCCACAGATTATCAGATTATTCTTCACAGATAATCCCCACTTGAGCAGACATTTTTAGGACTTGGACTAAGTATGTTTTTATAACTCTGGCTCAAGCGTCTGTTGTTTCACATCAATAATAAACAAACGTTTCCATCGAGGAAAGTCACTCTTTGGCAAAACTGTGACAGAACAAGTGTCACAGTCTAACTAACTCTAACCCTGACTCTGACTCCTGTGTTCTCCTGTGTTCCAGCGATGGCGCCCACTCAGCCCAGTGTCCGCTCTGAGGTCTTCAAACCGTGCGTTGAGGATAAAGACCTGGCGTTCTGTCTGAACGAAGGAGAGTGCTCCATCATCCAGACCGTGGCCGGGGTCCACCGACACTGCAGGTAACGGACTCTGCTTTATCTGCATCCATGCTGCACATGTTTGGCAAAATGAATCTTAACTGGAGCAGATTTAGACTGGAACAAAGAAAAAGGAGATTGTAGAGAAGAAATGTCTCCCGTTCTGTGGCTGGTCATAGAAACACAGGCTGCCTCTGGCGGCTGTGGCTAGAGCAGAACCATGACTGTGTTTAGAGTGAATAATGTGGACTGTCTTTGGGAAAGTGCTGTTTATGATGAAGAGGAAGAGGTTCTTTTTGTGTCCCACTGTGGGGAAATGTCAGTGTTGCAGAACAGGAGGAATGATGAAGCATGTTGCATGTTTTTACTATTGTCAGCTGCTTATAGAATGATGTATTTATGTGTTTAAAAGGCTGTATATTTATATATTTCTTGTGTATAGAGTAGGATTAACTGTGACTTGTTTTGGTAAAATGCAAAGAGGAAAAGTTAAACTGGAAATGGTTTATTATTTTTTCACTCAAACCAAAGTTGTTGTTTTTGTCTTGAATCAGAGACAGACGTTGACGGTTTCTGCAGCTCTCGGGTTATTTCAGCGATTTTACATTGTTAAATATCGGTGCACAACAACACAACACAACACAACACAACACAACACAACACAACACAACACAACACAACAGACTGAGTGCCTGCTGTAGCATAAATCCTTCCATGCTTTTGTTTGGGCCCAGAACACATTCATCAGTGATAAATAAAACACTATTGTTTGGAGCAGGTTTGAGAATAAAAACACAAACTGGCAATTTACGGAATGAGGCGACAAACGGTGAAAATAATTTTTTAACATTTGAATCGAGTCGACCTGAAAATCCACATTTTTATAATTGGAACATTTGAATGAAACACTGGTCTTTACACAATCTGGAATAAAACTAAAGACTTATGGTTTGTTTATCACAGAAAGTAACACATTGTTTACGACTTAAGCACATTTAAAGTCTTATCAGCAAAGTTTAATTAAATCAGTGGCTTTTCCTTTGAACGTGACTGAAGTGAGTTTCTGCTTATCTCCAGCTCCCTGCGATGCTAGCAAACAGTTTATTCAGCTGCACAGAATTTATAAAAGACATGCATCAAATGAAAGACTCATCACTGTCTCTGACTCTGACGTTTACTACAAATACACATATATCTGCTCTTTTGCTTCAGGAACCGTCCCAGAAATAGACCATACAGGCTGTAATTATGTCGGGGCATAACCGCAGAGCCACGGTCGGCCATGTTCTCCGGCGGCGCTGAGTGGCTGCTGTGAGCCAGATTGATTGTAGGTTTGTGTGAGCGTTTACTTTTATAGGTCAATGCCGTTTCACTCAAAGAAGTCCCGGCTGGAAGTCAGACCCAGCCGTCATTCAGACTCCGGATCATATCAGTGTTGTCTGTATTTTGCTCGACAGCCTGATGTAGTGCACTGGGTTTGTGACACCGAGAGGAGCATGAGAGAGATTCTGCAGAGATCAGAGAATACAGGGTCTCGCACTGATATATTTGAGCCAATTTGTCTCTAAATGAATGAGTTTTTGGTTCTCGCTCTTTCACAAAACGTGAAGCTACTGCGATTCACTCGAGGATGTTTAGCAGAACTATAGAAGGCATCGCTCATGGAATATTGGATTGTGGAACAGCGGGGAGGGAGCCCACTGCAACAACATTATACAGTTTATTATTAAACATCACAGGCTAAAGGAGCAATAACATGGCTTCAGATTAAACTGGTCCATTTCTATCTCACTGATGAAGCCGGCCCAGGAGGACCAGGAGGACCAGGAGGACCAGGAGGAAACCACTGCCATTCTTTCAAATGTTACTGTGTTTTTAGTTCAATGTATTTTCAATGTATTTGCAGTAAAACCACATCCCGGTCGGAACAGTTTCTGCGTGGAGTTTGCATGTTCTCCCTGTGTCTGCGTAGGTTTCCTCCAGGTGCTCCGGTTTCCCCTACCACTAAAAACATGTACAATAGGTCTGAATGTAGTGAGTGAATGGAGGGTGTTTGGTCGGAGGCTTTGATGGACCAGTGTGTTCTGATCTAGCTTCCGTCTTCACCGTGTGGAGAGAATTAAACAAATACTGACCGTTGTAAAGTGCTTTGGGAGACTTGGATCTGTAAAAATGTGCTACATAAATAAGCATTACTTACTTAGTTACTTACATTGGAAAAACTGAGCAAACCCAGTGTGCACCAGACAGAGAGGATCGTACACACCGGAGCTCTGGCCACGGTGCCATATTTCCTGTGCCATGCAGTACAGAAATAGGCTTGTCGTATCGACCTAAATCACAACAGCAGCTGTATCAGAGAACTGCTCAAAGTGCTGGGTTACCAACACAGATCAGGGACAGGAAGTGCAATAACAACAAACACACAGAAGCATTGGTCCATAGAGGGCCAGACCAAAGTCCAGAAAGGTCCAGAGGTCTCCCATCACAGCACTGACCAGGCCCTGCCCTGCACAGCTTCAGAGGTCGTAGTAGTGTTCAAGCAAAGATCTTGGTCAGCACGAAAAATGGTAGATACAGTTTACCCCCAAAGTCAATCTCCGTTTAAGACAAAACGTGAGTCCTGAGAGTGGATCATTTTGAAATCAGTTCATTTGTGGTTTTGTGGTGAGTTTCACATGAGTCCACCTTAAAGTTTCACATGAGTCCACCTTAAAGTTTCACATGAGTCCACCTTAAAGTTTCACATGAGTCCACCTTAAAGTTTCACATGAGTCCACCTTAAAGTTTCACATGAGTCCACCTTAAAGTTTCACATGAGTCCACCTTAAAGTTTCACAAGAGTCCACCTTAAAGTTTCACATGAGTCCACCTTAAAGTTTCACATGAGTCCACCTTAAAGTTTCACATGAGTCCACCTTAAAGTTTCACATGAGTCCACCTTAAAGTTTCACATGAGTCCACCTTAAAGTTTCACATGAGTCCACCTTAAAGTTTCACAAGAGTCCACCTTAAAGTTTCACATGAGTCCACCTTAAAGTTTCACATGAGTCCACCTTAAAGTTTCACATGAGTCCACCTTAAAGTTTCACATGAGTCCACCTTAAAGTTTCACATGAGTCCACCTTAAAGTTTCACATGAGTCCACCTTAAAGTTTCACATGACTCCACCTTAAAGTTTCACATGAGTCCACCTTAAAGTTTCACATGAGTCCACCTTAAAGTTTCACATGAGTCCACCTTAAAGTTTCACATGAGTCCACCTTAAAGTTTCACATGAGTCCACCTTAAAGTTTCACATGACTCCACCTTAAAGTTTCACATGAGTCCACCTTAAAGTTTCACATGAGTCCACCTTAAAGTTTCACATGAGTCCACCTTAAAGTTTCACATGAGTCCACCTTAAACTGCATGTGACTCTGACGTAGCTCATTAGACTCAGACACGGCCCTACTTAAGGATCGTCACTTCTTGTTCCTCCAGAGTCTGGTTTTCAGCTTTAGTCCCGTCTCTTGGCCTCGTTGGATCACAGACAATCTGCTCATGTCCCAAAACCATCTCCAGGTCTAACAAAGACTCTTCCACACAAAGAGCATAAAACATGTTGTTCTGTGGCCTTCGTTCTGAATTCAGGATTTTCGCTGGTATTGTTTCCAAACTCATCCTTCCCTCTTCGTTGGATCATCTTTGTGCCAATGCTAATGCTTCCCCAAAATAATCATGCAAATGTGAGTTTAAGACCTACTTTTATAAGACGACAAAATCCTGGCGGGTCACGATGGTTTTGTCACAAGCTCTTTTCTTTGTGTTGCTGCTGGTGCTTTAGACCATGTGACAGTCTTAGATTCTGCACAAGGCCTTTACAACATACTATTGCTACTCTTTACACCATCAACCCCAAAGGCTGAGGACCATCAACAGTCTGACATGTATTATTATAGTTTACCAGTGATGGCAGAGGAATCCACTGTTCATAATGACTATTTTACCATGAAACATAAATAGTACATAACAAAAATCCTTTAATAAGTTTGAATAAGATAAAAAATGACCCCAAATCATAGATCTCCGTTTCCACAGATACCATGACATCACCAACACTATAGATATTGATGCATCATTTAAACTGTAGCTAGTTAACGCCTCTACAGTCCATGGTATTCACTGATAGATGTCAGAGAGAGAGACCAGAGAGAGAGACCAGAGAGAGAGACCAGAGAGAGAGACCAGAGAGAGAGACCAGAGAGAGAGGCCAGAGAGAGACCAGAGAGAGAGACCAGAGAGAGAGACCAGAGAGAGACCAGAGAGAGACCAGAGAGAGAGACCAGAGAGAGAGACCAGAGAGAGACCAGAGAGAGACCAGAGAGAGAGACCAGAGAGAGAGACCAGAGAGACCAGAGAGAGAGACCAGAGAGAGTCTGTTTTGTATCCTCTGTTTAAAGCGATCCAAAGAATGCAATCTACTTTAAACGGTCCTCTCCATCGGCCCTGAGACGTTGCCACGGTTACAGCCCATATGTTCCATTAACCCGCAAGAATACATCAGTGGGAGGTGCGGCAGAACGAGCTGTCATCTCCCATCGCGTCTCCTCCTACACGCTCCTGAGCTCGCAAACTTCTCCTATGAGCCTCTCCCCTGTGGATACTGTGTCCTTCAGCACAAAGAAAACCTGGAAGATAAACTCAGGCAAATTAACCAGAGAGGGAGGCGGCTTTGGCTGAGGAGGCACATATGCAGGAGCAAGGAGGTGCAGGTAGTGTCAGGCTGTCAGAGGAGGTGCAGGTAGTGTCAGGCTGTCAGAGGAGGTGCTGTCAGAGGAGATGCAGGTAGTGTCAGACAGTCAGAGGAGGTGCAGGTAGTGTCAGGCTGTCAGAGGAGGTGCAGGTAGTGTCAGACAGTCAGAGGAGGTGCAGGTAGTGTCAGGCTGTCAGAGGAGGTGCTGTCAGAGGAGATGCAGGTAGTGTCAGACAGTCAGAGGAGGTGCAGGTAGTGTCAGACAGTCAGAGGAGGTGCAGGTAGTGTCAGACAGTCAGAGGAGGTGCAGGTAGTGTCAGACAGTCAGAGGAGGTGCAGGTAGTGTCAGGCTGTCAGAGGAGGTGCCGGTAGTGTCAGACAGTCAGAGGAGGTGCAGGTAGTATCAGACAGTCAGAGGAGGTGCAGGTAGTGTCAGGCTGTCAGAGGAGGTGCTGTCAGAGGAGGTGCTGTGAGAGGAGGTGCTGTCAGAGGAGGTGCTGTCAGAGGAGGTGCTGTCAGAGGAGGTGCTGTGAGAGGAGGTGCTTTGAGAGGAGGTGCAGACAGAGGAGGTGCAGACAGAGGAGGTGCTGTCAGAGGAGGTGCTGTCAGAGGAGGTGCAGACAGAGGAGGTGCTGTCAGAGGAGGTGCTGTCAGAGGAGGTGCAGACAGAGGAGGTGCAGACAGAGGAGGTGCAGACAAAGAAGGTGCAGACAGAGGAGGTGCAGTCAGAGGAGGTTCTGTCACAGCAGGTGCAGACAGAGGAGGTGCAGACAGAGGAGGTGCTGTCAGAGGAGGTGCAGACAGAGGAGGTGCAGACAGAGGAGGTGCTGTCAGTGGAGGTGCTGTCAGAGGAGGTGCTGTCAGAGGAGGTGCTGTCAGAGGAGGTGCAGACAGAGGAGGTTCTGTCAGAGGAGGTGCTGTCAGTGGAGGTGCTGTCAGTGGAGGTGCTGTCAGAGGAGGTGCTGTCAGAGGAGGTGGTGTCAGAGGAGGTGCTGACAGAGGAGGTGCACACAGAGGAGGTGCTGTCAGAGGAGGTGCTGTCAGAGGAGGTGCTGTCAGAGGAGGTGCAGACAGAGGAGGTGCAGACAGAGGAGGTTCTGTCACAGCAGGTGCAGACAGAGGAGGTGCAGACAGAGGAGGTGCTGTCAGAGGAGGTGCTGTCAGAGGAGGTGCAGACAGAGGAGGTGCAGACAGAGGAGGTGCTGTCAGAGGAGGTGCAGACAGAGGAGGTGCAGACAGAGGAGGTGCAGACAGAGGAGGTATTGTCAGTGGAGGTGCTGTCAGTGGAGGTGCTGTCAGAGGAGGTGCTGTCAGAGGAGGTGCAGACAGAGGAGGTTCTGTCAGAGGAGGTGCTGTCAGTGGAGGTGCTGTCAGAGGAGGTGCTGTCAGAGGAGGTGCTGTCAGTGGAGGTGCTGTCAGAGGAGGTGCAGACAGAGGAGGTGCAGACAGAGGAGGTGCACACAGAGGAGGTGCACACAGAGGAGGTGCTGTCAGAGGAGGTGCAGACAGAGGAGGTGCTGTCAGAGGAGGTGCTGTCAGAGGAGGTGCAGACAGAGGAGGTGCAGACAGAGGAGGTGCACACAGAGGAGGTGCAGACAGAGGAGGTGCAGACAGAGGAGGTGCACACAGAGGAGGTGCTGTCAGAGGAGGTGCTGTCAGAGGAGGTGCTGTCAGAGGAGGTGCAGACAGAGGAGGTGCAGACAGAGGAGGTGCTGTCAGTGGAGGTGCTGTCAGAGGAGGTGCTGTCAGAGGAGGTGCAGACAGAGGAGGTGCAGACAGAGGAGGTTCTGTCAGAGGAGGTGCTGTCAGTGGAGGTGCTGTCAGAGGAGGTGCTGTCAGTGGAGGTGCTGTCAGAGGAGGTGCTGTCAGAGGAGGTGCAGACAGAGGAGGTGCAGACAGAGGAGGTGCTGTCAGAGGAGGTGCTGTCAGAGGAGGTGCAGACAGAGGAGGTGCTGTCAGAGGAGGTGCAGACAGAGGAGGTGCTGTCAGTGGAGGTGCTGTCAGAGGAGGTGCAGACAGAGGAGGTGCAGACAGAGGAGGCCTGGAGTTCTCAGCTCAGAGTTTGCATAAGATTCAGATTCAGTTATTTCTTGTTTTTTGAATCCTTGGAGACGCTGCTGATGCGTTGGTTCTTTATGGATCTCTCTCAGTTCATTCAGGTCGACAGTAGCTCCGTTGGTAGAGCAGTGGCCTTTGAGCCAGAAGGTTGTGGGTTTGAGCCCGACCTTCAAGATCGACTCCCACTGTCTGTCGTTGTGTCCTTGGGCAAGACACTTAACCTCTGGGAACAGAGCTGGTGCTTGCCTTATTGGGGCCCTAAGCAAAAGTCAGCATAGGGGCCCTACACCTAATCCGCTTTCTTCCAAAACTTTCTCAATAATTCTCTGAATCATTTCATTTTGAATTGACTAACCGAGATAATGGACATGTTTCCTTGTCCTTTACTTTGTCCTTGTCCTTTACTTTGTTTCGTATGAGGATCATGGGGGACAGCACCTGACAACTCTAACAACCAATCACATGGGTGATTTCGGAAAAGAAGGGCCTCGTAACTGCACGAGTGAGAGCAATGAGGGAAAGAAAAAAAAGAGTCCGCACTCCGGGGCTCCCCCCTGGACTGCCACCTTAACGTGGTGGGGGAGTTTGAGTACTCGGATGATCCTGGGAGCTATGCTGTCTGGGGCTTCATGCCCCTGGTAGGGTCTCCCATGGCAGACAGGTCTCAGGTGACGAGTCAGACAAAGAGCAGTCCAGAAGACACCATGGACAACACTAATATGAAAACAGTGATGTCGCCCGGCATGGCGCAGCCGGGGCCCCACCCTGGAGCCAGGCCTGGGGTCGGGGCCCGTATGCGAGCGCCTGGTGGCCGGGCCTTAGCCCACGGGGCCCGGCCGGGCTCAGCCCGAAGGGATGACGTGGGCAGTCCCTCCTGTGGGCCCACCACCTGCAGAGGGGTCCGTGGTGAAGCGGTGCTGAGAGGACTGGGCGGCAGTCGAAGGCGGAGACCTCGGCGACCCAGTCCGCACACACAACATCTGGCTCTTGGGACGTGGAACGTCACCTCACTGGGGGGGAAGGAGCCCGAGCTCGTGGGGGAGGTTGAGCGATACCGACTAGAGATAGTCGGCCTCACCTCCACACACAGCTTGGGCTCTGGAACCCAACTCCTTGAGAGGGGTTGGACGCTCCACTTTTCTGGAGTTTCCCGCGGGGAGAGGCGGCGAGCTGGGGTGGCCATTCTCATTGCCCCCCATCTCAGCCGCCACGTGTTGGAGTTCTCCCCGGTGAATGAGAGGGTCGCGTCCCTCTGCCTTTGGGTGGGGGACAAGTCTCTCACTGTTGTGACGGCCTACGGGCCTAACAGCAGTGCAGAGTACCCGGCCTTCTTGGAGTCCTTGGGAGGGGTACTGGACGGTGCACCGCCCGGGGACTCCGTTATTCTCCTGGGGGACTTCAACGCCCATGTGGGAAACGCCAGTGACACTTGGAGAGGGGTGATCGGGAAGAACGGCCCCCCTGATCTGAACCCGAGCGGTGCTCAGTTGTTGGACTTCTGTGCCAGTCACGGTTTGTCCATCACGAACACCATGTTCGAGCACAAGGGTGTCCACCAGTGCACGTGGCACCAGGACACCCTAGGCCGGAGGTCGATGATCGACTTTGTTGTCGTATCATCTGACCTTCGACCGCGTGTCTCGGACACTCGGGTAAAGAGAGGGGCGGAACTGTCAACCGATCATCACCTGGTCGTGAGTTGGATCCGCTGGCAGGGGAAGAAGCCGGTCAGACCTGGCAGACCCAAGCGTATAGTGAGGGTCTGCTGGGAACGTCTCGCTGAGCCCCCTGTCAGACGGACTTTCAACTCACACCTCCGGGAGAGTTTCTCCCAGGTCCCGGCGGAGGAGGGGGACATGGAGTCCGAGTGGACCATGTTCTCTGCCTCAATCGCCGATGCGGCGGCTCGTAGCTGTGGTTGCAAGGTCTCTGGTGCTGGTCCCGGCGGCAACCCCCGAACCCGGTGGTGGACACCGGCAGTAAGGGATGCTGTCAGGCTGAAGAAGGAGTCCTATCGAGCCATGATGGTTCGGGGGACTCCTGAGGCAGCTGTCCAGTACCGGCAGGCCAAGCGTGCCGCGGCCCGGGCTGTTGCAGAGGCAAAAACCCGGGACTGGGAGGAGTTCGGAGAGTCCATGGAGCATGACTATCGGTCGGCCTCGAAGAGATTCTGGCAAACCATCCGGCGCCTCAGGAGGGGGAAGCAGTTCTTTGCCAACACCATGTACGGCGCGGGTGGAGAGCTGCTGACCTCGACTGGGGATATTGTCGGGCGGTGGAAGGAATACTTTGAGGTTCTCCTCAATCCCCCCGTCACGTCCTCTGTTACAGAGGCAGAGGCTGAGGATGTTGGGGCGGGTACATCCTAGGGATGTAAATCGGCGACCGGTTAACCGGTGGTTGACCGTCACAGCGTTAACCGGTCAAAGCTGTCGGTTAAAAAAGAGAAAAAGGGGAGAGGGGAGGTCTCTTAATAACGCTATTTTAAGCCCTATTTGCACGGTGTGACGAGCGGGTCTGTATCTAGCTGTGTGCGCCCATGTATTATAAACTCCGGGACGACTCTCACGCCGCACGAGCCACATATGCACACACGCACAAACACACACACACACACACACACTTTCCCCCTCTCCATACGTAACATCCACACGCATCATCTCTCCCCTCACCGTCAAAGTTGCACACTGGCGCGGGTCAGAACTACATAGGAGCTTACATTTACACACACACACATATACATACACACACACACACACACACACACATATACACACACATACATACACACACACATACCGGTCTGTCGCGCTCCTCTGTGTCACGGAGCCCAAAGGATTCGCGCAAATACGCGGCTCCAGTCCAACCACATGGAACATGTTTGTGTTTATGGTCCTCGGGATCAGCTCCACACACATCACTTGTATTTAAACTTTTGTGAAGACCTGTGAGACGCGGCTCGCCGTCGTTTGCTGCTAGAAAGTTTTGGTATTAACCCGCAGTACAGCAGAATGGGAAGATTAAAAAAGCAGTTCTCTGTGCGCAAAGGTGCCGGAGCTGTTGCGGGTTTGGGCGCCGCTGTCTCAGCTCTGATCCAGTAGAACGCAGAGTTGCACTTATGAAAAGTACGCGGCTCGAAATGGCTGTTATTTCAAAGAACGTGGACAATTTTAAACTACGCGGTTAACCGGTTTCAACCGGTTAATGAGGCTCGGTGGTCGGTCATGAAAATTCATAGTTTTTTACATCCCTAGTACATCCATCTCCCTGGCTGAGGTCACCAAGGTGGTTGGTAGCCTCCATGGTGGCAAGGCGTCGGGAGTGGATGAGATCCGTCCTGACTCTAAAGTCTCTGGATGTTGTGGAACTGTCTTGGCTGACACGTCTCTGCAAACATCGCGTGGCGATCGGGGGCAGTGCCAATGGAGTGGCAGACCGGGGTGGTGGTCCCTCTCTACAAGAAGGGGGACCGGAGGGTGTGTTCCAATTATCGTGGGATCACACTCCTCAGCCTCCCCGGTAAGGTCTACTCCAAGGTACTGGAGAGGAGGTTACGGCCGATGGTCGAATCTCGGATCCAGGAGGAGCAGTGTGGTTTTCGTCCCGGTCGCGGAACACTGGACCAGCTCTATACTCTCCATCGGATACTCGAGGGTTCATGGGAGTTCGCCCAACCTGTCCACATGTGCTTTGTGGATTTGGAGAAGGCGTTCGACTGTGTTCCCCGGGGTGTCCTTTGGGGGGTTCTCCGGGAGTACGGGGTCGGAGGTCCTCTGCTGAGGGCCATCCGATCCCTGTATGACCTGAGCCAGAGCTGCGTGCGCATTGCCGGCAGTAAGTCAGACCTGTTCCCGGTGAATGTTGGCCTCCGACAGGGCTGCCCTTTGTCACCGGTTCTGTTCACTGTATTTATGGACAGAATATCTAGGCGCAGCCAGGGGTCGGAGGGGGTCCGGTTCGGAGACCACAGGATTTCATCTCTGCTGTTTGCGGACGATGTTGTCCTGTTGGCTCCAACGAACCAGGACCTGCAGCATGCACTGGGACGGTTTGCAGCCGAGTGTGAAGCGGCTGGGATGAGAATCAGCACCTCCAAATCCGAGGCCATGGTGCTCGACCGGAAAAAGGGGCCTTGCCCTCTGCAGGTGGGTGGAGAGGTCCTTCCTCAAGTGGAGGAGTTCAAGTATCTCGGGGTCTTGTTCACGAGTGAGGGAAGAATGGAGCGTGAGATTGACAGGCGGATCGGTGCAGCGTGCGCAGTGATGCGGTCGCTGTATCGGACCGTTGTGGTGAAGAGGGAGCTGAGCCGAAAGGCAAAGCTCTCGATTTACCGGTCAATCTTCGTTCCCTCCCTCACCTATGGTCATGAGCTTTGGGTAATGACCGAAAGAACGAGATCGCGGATACAAGCGGTCGAAATGAGCTTCCTCCGCAGAGTGGCTGGGCGCTCCCTTTAGAGATAGGGTGAGGAGCTCAGTCACACGGGAGGAGCTCGGAGTAGAACCGCTGCTTCTCCACGTCGAGAGGAACCAGTTGAGGTGGCTCGGGCATCTGTTCCGGATGCCTCCTGGACGCCTCCCTGGGGAGGTGTTCCGGGCACGTCCCACCGGGAGGAGGCCCCGCGGAAGACCCAGGACACGCTGGAGGGACTATGTCTCTCAGCTGGCCTGGGAACGCCTTGGGGTCCCCCCGGACGAGCTGGAGGAAGTGTGTGGATAGGGAAGTCTGGGCGTCTCTGCTTAGACTGCTGCCCCCGCAACCCGGCAACGGATAAAGCGGAAGAAAATGGATGGATGGATGGCACTCCGGGGCCCTTCCAGCTGCGGGGCCCTACGCATTCTGCATAGTCTGCGCATAGGAAGCGCCGGCTCTGTCTGGGAACAGCAGGTGCCACAGTGGGGCAGCTGCGGCTGTAAAGTCCCAAACTGTGGTTGTGTCCGTAGGCAAGACACTTCACCCCCATTGCCTAGAATGAGTCTGGTGTGTGTGTGAATGGTTGGTGCTGGTGGGAGGGGCCGATGGCACAGACTGGTTGCCTCGCCCCAGGGCAGCTGTGGCGACAGTAGTATTTTAGAGAGAATGATTAATGATGTATGACTTTGAGCGCCCTGAAGAGCTCTGTATAAAACATGTTTATTACATTAAACTCTTGTTATTACTTTAGCACATCTGCCTCTGTCAGAGTGAACATCTGTCATTAATCAAGTATTTACAGATCTTTTCTCTCGTCTGTTTGAGACACATTGGAAGAAAACGGACCTGGACCAAAGACAGAGTGGCTGCCGAAGTTCAGTTTTCTCATGTTTAAAAGTGTAAATAAACGTGTAAACAGTTTGTGTTGTAATATACAGATTATATTATTGATTTGTGCTCATATGTATCAAGGTTTATCACGAGAAATGGCGGAAAATGAGCTCAGAGAAAAAAATACTTTTAGTAGCCGCGCAGCTAGCGCCCAAATGCGTTCACTGTCCTTTACTTGTTTAAATATCATACAGCTGTTATGTGGATCCCTGTGTTTATTTATTAGTTAAACAAGTAAAACACAGTGAATCTAATCAAGAATTAAACTGTGTTAGCCTCATCTCCGTGTGCCTTTGAACGCATCTGGGCGCTAGCTTCGTGTCTACTAAAAGTATTTTTTTCTCTGAGCTCTTTTTCCGCCATTTCTCGTAATAAACCTTGATACATATGAGCACAAATCAATAATATAATCTGTATATAATAACACTAACTGTTTACATGTTTAGTTACACATTTTGACTTGCGCAAACTGAACTTCCGGGATGAATCCGGCAGCCACACATGGTTCATTAGCAGCCGCAGCCTCTCTCTCTCGGACCAAACCGGGCCCAGTGGGTCCAGACTGCTCCCTCTGTGCTCTATGTTCAGGTGGACACTCACAGTCTACTTTGTGTTGCTGCGGTGGATAGATGTGTGTTTGCCTTTGTGTGTGTCTGTATCTGTGTTTTTACTTGTGCATGTGTGTGTGTGTCTGTGTGCGTATCCATGTCTGTGTGTGTGTGTTTGTGTGTCTGTGTGTGTGTCCGTGTGTGTGTGTGTGTGTGTGTGTGTGTTTGTGTGCGTATGTGTGTGTCTGTGTGCATATTCGTGTCTGTGTGTGTGTGTTTGTGTGTCTGTGTGTGTGTGTCCGTGTCTGTGTCCTTGTGTGTGTGTGTGTGTCTGTGTCCGTGTGTGTGTCTGTGTGCGTGTCTTTGAGCATGTCCGTGTCTGTGTCCTTGTGTGTGTGTGTGTGTGTGTGTGTCTGTGTGCGTGTCTTTGAGCATGTCCGTGTGTGTGTCCTTGTGTGTGTGTGTGTGTGTCTGTGTGCGTGTCTTTGAGCATGTCCGTGTGTGTGTCCTTGTGTGTGTGTGTGTGTGTGTCTGTGTGTGTGTTCCTGGCTGAAGGCCCTGTCTCCCGTCACCATGGTAACTCCTTCTTCCTCATTAGAAGCAGAGAATAGTTGTTGACTCACTGCTTTGGCTGTTTCATGTAAACGCTCCGTTATATCAGCCACGGACGCCAGGATTATTGTCACCTTTAACGGCGGCGGTGGCTGCGCCGTGTGAATTATTCAGAGAGATTAGCATTTTGGATTGGAGCCTATAAATCTGACTTTAAATATAATGGAATATTCAGATAATGATGGATTTAGAGAAACACGGGGCATTCTGATTGTTTATGTTGTCAATATTCGTTATCAGTGATTAAAGCTCAGAGACCTGATTCACTTATTCATCCATAATTAATGTGACGTTTGCACAATAAAAGAATAAAAGAGCGTTTCCGTCACTCTTTGGGCCGAGACTTCAATGACTGACTCCGTTTGGCACTTTTTAGTTAAAAAAGACCAGGCTCTGTGTGGACCAGGCTCTGTGTGGACCAGGCTCTGTGTGGACCAGGCTCTGTGTGGACCAGGCTCTGTGTGGACCAGGCTCTGTGTGGACCAGGCTCTGTGTGGACCAGGCTCTGTGTGGACCAGGCTCTCTGTGGACCAGGCTCTGTGTGGACCAGGCTCTGTGTGGACCAGGCTCTGTGTGGACCAGGCTCTGTGTGGACCAGGCTCTGTGTGGACCAGGCTCTGTGTGGACCAGGCTCTGTGTGGACCAGGCTCTGTGTGGACCAGGCTCTCTGTGGACCAGGCTCTGTGTGGACCAGGCTCTGTGTGGACCAGGCTCTGTGTGGACCAGGCTCTCTGTGGACCAGGCTCTGTGTGGACCAGGCTCTGTGTGGACCAGGCTCTCTGTGGACCAGGCTCTGTGTGGACCAGGCTCTGTGTGGACCAGGCTCTGTGTGGACCAGGGCTGTGTGGACCAGGGCTGAGTGGACCAGGGCTGTGTGGACCAGGCTCTGTGTGGACCAGGGCTGTGTGGACCAGGCTCTGTGTGGACCAGGGCTGTGTGGACCAGGGCTGAGTGGACCAGGGCTGTGTGGACCAGGCTCTGTGTGGACCAGGCTCTGTGTGGACCAGGCTCTGTGTGGACCAGGCTCTCTGTGGACCAGGCTCTGTGTGGACCAGGCTCTCTGTGGACCAGGCTCTGTGTGGACCAGGCTCTGTGTGGACCAGGCTCTCTGTGGACCAGGCTCTGTGTGGACCAGGCTCTGTGTGGACCAGGCTCTGTGTGGACCAGGCTCTGTGTGGACCAGGGCTGTGTGGACCAGGGCTGAGTGGACCAGGGCTGTGTGGACCAGGCTCTGTGTGGACCAGGGCTGTGTGGACCAGGCTCTGTGTGGACCAGGGCTGAGTGGACCAGGGGCTGTAAAAGCTGTATATAACACTGGTGTAGTGCTCTGGGCCCCGGGGACACTGGTGTAGTGTTCTAGGCCCCGGGGACAGGGCCTGATGAGGAAACACGGGAGATCTCTGCAAGAATCAAAAGAGCCGGTGTCCCCTGTGAAAAACATCCATTTCCATCTCCGTGGGTTCGGCTTCTGGGCGCTGCCTGTTTTGTTTAGTCGCCAGGGCTCTGGAGATACGGCTAAACGAATAACATCCACAGACTCAGAGATAGAAAATAACTTTTACTTTGCATTGTTTAGTCATTGAAAGAATAACAGTATTAATAATAGCAGCACAGTCTGGTTGTATTTACTGTATAGAACTCACTGAAGTCTTGGTATTTCCTCCAGGGCTGAGGTAAACATTCTGCTGCCATTTTTCATGCAATTTTTGTTATCTAAGAGTTTCAGTTTGTGTGAGGTTAGTGCCATTATTCAGGTTAGGGTCGGGGATAAGGCAATGGTTTGATTTCAGTGGGACCAAATACCAAGACGTGAGGAATCGCAAAAGTATCCCGTGGTTTGAAGCAGAAAATCAAAATAATTTCAACATTGGTCTTACTTAACATGATATATTCAAATCCTCTCCAGTTTTTCAATTTTTTCTATTTATTTAGGGTTAGGGTATCGCACTATAAATAGGTATGTAGCACATGTGTGTATATATATATATAATATTATTTTTAAAAAAATTGTCCACTCACCTTTGGCCCTCCGCGGGCGGTTATCCCTCTCTAAGCTCGGGTCCTCTACCAGAGGCCTGGGAGCTTGAGGGTTCTGCGCAGTATCTTTGCTGTTCCTAGCACTGCACATTTCTGGACCCAGATGTCCGAGGTTGTTCCAGGGATCCGCTGTAACCTCTTCTAGCTTCGGGGTCACTGCCCCGAGTGCACCGATCACCACGGGCACTACTGTGACCTTTACCCTCCAGGCCCTCTCACTACTGTGACCTTTACCCTCCAGGCCCTCTCACTACTGTGACCTTTACCCTCCAGGCCCTCTCACTACTGTGACCTTTACCCTCCAGGCCCTCTCCAGCTCCTCTCTGAGACCTTGGTATTTCTCAAGCTTTTCATGTTCTTTTTTCCGGATGTTACCATCGCTTGGAATTGCCACGTCCACCACCACGGCTGTCCTCTGCCCTTTGTCCACCACCACGGCTGTCCTCTGCCCTTTGTCTACCACCACGGCTGTCCTCTGCCCTTTGTCCACCACCACGGCTGTCCTCTGCCCTTTGTCCACCACCACGGCTGTCCTCTGCCCTTTGTCCACCACCACGGCTGTCCTCTGCCCTTTGTCCACCACCACAGCTGTCCTCTGCCCTTTGTCCACCACCACGGCTGTCCTCTGCCCTTTGTCCACCACCACGGCTGTCCTCTGCCCTTGGTCCACCACCACGGCTGTCCTCTGCCCTTTGTCCACCACCACGGCTGTCCTCTGCCCTTTGTCCACCACCACGGCTGTCCTCTGCCCTTTGTCCACCACCACGGCTGTCCTCTGCCCTTTGTCCACCACGGCTGTCCTCTGCCCTTTGTCTACCACCACGGCTGTCCTCTGCCCTTTGTCCACCACCACGGCTGTCCTCTGCCCTTTGTCCACCACCACGGCTGTCCTCTGCCCTTTGTCCACCACCACGGCTGTCCTCTGCCCTTTGTCCACCACCACGGCTGTCCTCTGCCCTTTGTCCACCACCACGGCTGTCCTCTGCCCTTTGTCCACCACCACGGTTGTCCTCTGCCCTTTGTCCACCACCACGGCTGTCCTCTGCCCTTTGTCCACCACCACGGCTGTCCTCTGCCCTTTGTCCACCACCCGGTTGTCCTCTGCCCTTTGTCCACCACCACGGCTGTCCTCTGCCCTTTGTCCACCACCACGGCTGTCCTCTGCCCTTTGTCCACCACCACGGCTGTCCTCTGCCCTTTGTCCACCACCACGGCTGTCCTCTGCCCTTTGTCCACCACCACGATGTCAGGTTGGTTCATTACCATTCGGTCGGTCTGTATCTGGAAGTCCCACAGGATCTTCTCATTTTCCACCACCTTTGGAGGAGTTTCCCACTTAGACCTTGGGGTTTCCAGCCCATACTCTGCACAGATGTTTCTGTACACTATGCAGCCACTTGGTTATGGCGTTCCATGTAGGCCTTCCCTGCCAGCATCGTGCACCCTGCAGTTATGTGTTGGATCGTCTCAGGTGCCTCTTTGCACAACCGACACCTTGGGTCTTGTCTGGTGTGGTATATCTGGGCCTCTATCGCTCTGGTGCTCAGTGCCTGTTCCTGTGCAGCCATGATGAGTGCCTCTGTGCTGTCCTGTAGGCCAGCCCTTTCTAGCCATTGGTAGGACTTCTTGAGATCAGCCACTTCTGTTATGCTCCGGTGGTACATGCCGTGTAGGGGCTTGTTCTCCCATGATGGGCTCTCCTCCAGCACCTCCTCATCTCGCCACTGCCTGAGACATTCACTGAGTACGTCATCCGTTTTGGCCTTCTCCATGATGTAGTTATGGAGTTTGGATGTTTCGTCCTGGACAGTGGCTCTCACTTTGGCAGTTGCCGCTTTCCTCGTCACCTGTTCGAGGTTGCCATTTGCCTGTGGTATACCGAGATACTTGTAACTGTCCTCAACATCTGCTATTGTTCCCTCTGGGAGTGAGATCCCTTCTGTGTGGACTACCTTGCCTCTCCGAGTCACCATCCTGCTACATTTCTCGAGTCCGATGTCATGGCTGTAGATCCTGGTTGTTTGGATCAGAGAGTCGATGTCTCTCTCGCTCTTGGCGTACAGCTTGATGTCATCCATGTAGAGGAGGTGACTGATCTTTGCTCCGTTCCTGAGGCGGTATCCATAGCCAGTCTGGTCAATTACTTGGCTTAGAGGGTTGAGGCCTTTGCAGAACAGTAGTGGGGACAGAGCATCTCCTTGGTAGATACCACATTTGATGGTCACTTGTGCGAGCGGCCATTTGCCTCAAGGGTGGTCTTCCACATTCCCATCGAGTTTGCAACGAAGTCCCTTAGAGCCCTGTTGATATTGTACAACTTCAAGCATTCCATGATCCATGTGTGTGGCATTGAGTCGTAGGCTTTCTGGTAATCAATCCAGGCTGTGCACAGGTTGGTGTGTCGTGACCGGCAGTCTTGGGCGACTGTTCTGTCAACCAGGAGCTGGTGTTTGGCTCCTCTGGTGTCTCTACAGGAGCTGGTGTTTGGCTCCTCTGGTGTCTCTGCAGGAGCTGGTGTTTGGCTCCTCTGGTGTCTCTACAGGAGCTGGTGTTTGGCTCCTCTGGTGTCCCTACCAATGCCCTTCTGTGCTGTGCTCATGAATTGTTCCATATGCCCACTTATCTTAGCCGCAATGATGCCTGACATGAGCTTCCATGTTGTGGAGAGACAGGTTATTGGCCGGTAGTTGGAGGGGACTGCACCCTTGACAGGGTCCTTAATGATCAGGACCGTTCGCCTTCGGTTAGCCACTCTGGGTATAGAGCCCTAATATATATATATATATATATATATATATATATATATATATATATATATATATATATATATATATATATATATATATATTAGGGCTGGGCAATATAAACGGTATAAGCGGTATGCAATATAAATTCTGCCAACGGTAGAGATTTTTGTTAAACCGGCATATTGCAATAGGTCAATATGTCATCAGATTGCGCAGGTTCTGACGCCAGCAGAAAGGACCAAAACAAACCGGCATTCAGCAGCATTAGCCTAGCACTATTAGCCTAGCATTAGCCTAGCAGACACCACTGGAAACAACGAACAACAGCACGGCATTAACACCGTGTTTCTGTCTCTGTATTGTTGTCACAGCGGCCCCAGCAGAGATAAATACACACACAGTAATCACAGTTTAAGAGTCTACCTTTAGGCCAATCGTGTAAGCTCGAAGCGCCAGCGTGAGCCAAAATAGATCCATGCGTGTGCCGTGTCCACAGCATCACAGAAGTTTGGGAAAGTTAGCGTCAGATTCGGACCTCCGCGGTCAATATCTCACAAAAGCTACTTTGTTAAACAAAATTAATTGTGCCAAAATGATCATTTACATCAATTGTTCAAATCCAATGTGCTGTTTTAATGAACATAAATCCATTAAATCCATTAAATCCATTAAAGTTCACTGCAAGTGCAGAGAAAAACGCTTAGGGAGCGTCAACAAATGGCAAGACCAGCTTTGTAAACGAACAATAGCTTTTACTGAAGCCATGTACACACACAAAACTCTCAGACACTATAAATAATGACCATGTCTAACTCCTACAGACTTTGATTTCAACATTTGTGAGTTTTTTATATTTTAAATGAATGCATGTTTTTCTTTTAAAAAATTGCTTTTACAGTGAATGGTCTTTACTGTAACATACATAAATAATGTATGTTACAACACAATGGTGTAGGTTTGGTTCCAATCTTGGTGGGGACATTCACTACGACCTGAGTCTACACCCATTGACACGGGGTCCAGAGTTTCTCCCCCAGAATTTGTTGTGTAATCACACACTATATTTGCAATAGTGTGTTGCCTTCTATACTAAACTCAGCTGTAGACTGAATGAGAAGCAGTTATGTATGTTAACAGAAGATTAATCATCACAATTCATAATTTGCTATTACTTGTTCTCTTACTTACTTTCCAACTGTTAAAAAAGCTCCTGATATCTTTTATCTTTTTTTGTGGAGGTGGCATTTTTTCTAAATTATATAAGAAGGTATAGACAATCAAAAACAGACATTCATATACATGAACTGCAGAATCATTTATATAACTTGGCCAATGTCAAAAGTTACATAGTATTTCTCAATACAATGAGTTAACAAGAGTTTGGCAATAAGTAACAGTTTGGATTTTTCTATATTTTCTTTTTTTTTATTCCATTCTCAACCCAAAAAGGCAAGTAATGACTCACAGGGCTCTCAAGTATGCAAAATAAAAACTTAAATGATATGTTGTGGTGTGTTTTGCGCACAACCAGCATGCATCGTTAACGCAATGGAAAATTTACGTATCCGAGCTTTAATTTCGGGAGCGCTGGTTGCGCTTTGGGAAGAGTCAGGGGAGAGACATGTCAGAGACACAGGGGAGAAACGGGGGAGATACGAGGGAGACCCGCACTTGCAACATGGTTCTGTCTGCATATGGTCCGAGCTCGGTACCATGTTAGAGCTGTGCTTTCACTGAGCGCCGCGACTGTCATTACAAAGCGGCAGCAGCTGCACCAGGACGTGCACATTCGAGTGCATCGCTTGAATGTGCTTAGAGCAAATAACAGCAAGTGCCCGCTGTCACACATTTCACAGAAATTACATTATCAGCAGATAAAGGTTGTAAATCGTGGATCCGTGGAATATTTTCATCCCTAGTTTATCCTGATTCACACAACACACCCACTCATACATTTTGGATAGTAAGAGCACAATAAGTATTTTTTCAGCCTTTCAACCAACCTGTTTCTTTATTGGAGCCAGTTCTGTTCTGTCTCTGTGCCGTGTGAGCTCCTCGGAACATTAAACAGTGCGCTGACAGATTAGAAATAACGTAAGTACTTTGAATGGTAATAGATCTACATCTTTCCTCTGATTACTCACGTGCTACAACGCTCAGGGAACGAAAAAAAACACTTGCTTCACGCTGGCTAACTTTTAAAAATTAAACAGTCGCTCAGTGCTTCAGTTTGGCGCTGAAGAAGACAGCCAATCACTGCAGAGAACGGAACGGTCACGTGCTGCTGCTGCTGCTGTTGCTCTGGAGGCGAGGAGGAGGCGCGACGTGTGCACAAACGGAAGACATGTGTCCCGGACCGTCCGGGTCACGGGACATCATGTCATTTTGGTGGAGACTTTAGTCCTCACCAAATATTGGTGGGGACATGTCCCCATGGTCCCCACGCAAACCTACGCCCTTGTTACAACATTTGTCTCTTTATTCGTCTCACAACTGATTTTCTAACTCAAAAAATATATATATTAGATTCTAATATATAAATAAGTAACAATCTTGACTATTTTATGCAAGAACCTGCTAGACCTATATTGAAATTCACACACAAAATTATACCACAATATATACCGTCTACCGTCTGTGACCCAAATTATACCGCAATATGAATTTTAGGCCATATCACTGCTATCTCTGAATGTCTCCACCTAGTGGTTCATGTGTTTTTTGTGCATTGCTCTGTGGGTGTGGTGACTGTACACCCTTGGGTGCCTGCCCCACCCTATTTAAGAGGACTTCCTGGTGCTCTTTTCATGTTTGCTTGATTAAATAAATAATTTTTAATTTGCAAGTAAGACAATGTGCGGGATTCTTCTCTCTCTGACATTAGGCTATACAGGCCTCTCCTCCTACGCACCCGATCTGTAGGTGATGAGTGCGAGTCCCTGCTCCAAACATTGGTATCGACAACACAACAATGTAACAGCAGAAGGATGAAGATAGGTTGTGTATGTGTGTGTGTGTTTGTGTGTGTATGTGTGTGTGTGTACGCGTGTGCGTGGGTGTGTGCGTGTGTGTGTGTGTATATATATATGTGTGCGTGTGTGTATATATATGTGTGTGTGTGTATATATGTGTGTGTGTATGTGCATGTGTGTGTGTGCGTGTGTGTGTGCGTATATATATGTGTGTGTGTATATATGTGCGTGTGTGTGTGTGTGTGTATATATATGTGTGTGTGTGTGTGTGTGTGTGCGTGTGTGTGTATATATATGTGTGTGTGTGTATATATTTGTGTGTATATGTGTGTGCTTGTGTGTGCGTGCGTGCGTGTGTGTGTGTGCGTGTGCGTGCGCGTGCGTGTGTGTGTGTATATATATGCGTGTGCGTGTGTGCGTGCGTATGTGTGTGTGTGTGTGCGTGTGTGTGCGTGTGTGCATGTGCGTGTGCGTGCGTGCGTGTGTGCGTGTGCGTGCGTGCGTGTGTGTGTGTTTGTGCGTGTGTGTGTCTGTGTGGGTGTGTGTGTGTGTGTGTGTGTAAGGTGGTCACTTACAGCTTGGTGCTTTATATTAATCAAACGTATAACTTTGACCGTTCTCGTAACCATGACGACTGTTATCTCACTGATGCTCGTACAGTTAGAAACTGCAGAAGATAAAAGTTATTCCTCTAATAAGGCTTTGTCTCGGTCCTTAATGAGACTCAGACGTGTTGTCAGGAAAAGCCTGGTCGCTGTCGCTTCGTTAGATCCAGTGGAAGATGTTTGGATTCTCCGTTTTACATTTGGCACTTGGCTTTTCCTTTCAACAGCAGAGACAGTTTTACTACGGTTACCGCCAGACTGAGCGCTTAAATACACATATTTTTTCTGCTGTTAAACCATATTGGCCAATAAAAGTCATGCATAAAAGTGGAATCCAATTTTAGGCAATAAAGAGGAGCTTACAGGTTATTAAGTCTCCTTCCTGTGTTCAGGGAGAGGCTGAAGGGAAAACGTTTAGTAACGTCTCTCAGTGTGGGGGGGTGGGGGGGGAACTGGAACTTTAGCCTCTGAACTGGTAAACAGGCAAATGATAGAAATGGGAGCGAGGTCAGCAGCCAGAGGAAACCTACAGAGACACGGGGAGAACATGCAAACTGGAATCAAACCCACAAACGCTAACCACTGCTCCACCCGACCCTTGCATTCAAGATATCTGTAATTCCTGAAATACCATGAAAAGGTTGTATTCTATGATGCGACGTTTGGAAATTCTATCTATTCAATTCATTTTTTCTTTCTAATACATAAAGTTGTCAAATTGTCAACAACAGATCAGAGAATCAAACTGTTCAAACCCCGGAAATGTAATAATAATAATAATAACAGTCCAATGGGGTAAAGGACCACTGTCCGTAAATGTTAAGAAATGTCTCTGAATGTTTGTCATTTCCATTATATATAAATCCATCAGAGAAGATACTTGACATTTTTTCTAAATGAAAAAGTGATGCATGTAATCACAGTCTGGCAGTAAAAAGGATTAAATTGTTTCAAACCAAAATAGTATTAAAGGTGAGTGGTTTTTCTGTAGTAGGTCTGCTACCTCTTATAGAAATATTATTTCTGACAGAAGCCTTTGGAAATACTGCAGTTTCTGTAAATCTAGAGGCGGATCTAACAATATTACTGCAAAAAACTTAAACAATACTTGCACCTTCTCCTTTTGGTTTCTGTTCCATTGTAGTGCCGAGACAGCAGACATAAACACATGTCTGTACGAGACTCCCATCGTAGAGATGATGATGATGATGGACGGAGAGTGCAGCTGAGGTGTTGTCCAGCAGGGGGCGCTCATCTGGCCTGACCACTGCCACTAACTGAGACTTTACAGACAGAGGAAGATGTAACTCAGTGTGAAGCACATGGATCATGCTACCAGCATGCTGGTTACATGCTACATGGATCTATTATATTAACTGGATAGGGTATTACAGCGTGTAGCTGAATAACTCATGTGCTCGGGGGATTTGCGCGGTACTGCAGACTGAACCAGACTGAACCAGACTGAACCAGACTGAACCAGACTAAATTCACGTGGGCTACCCAGACATTTTCCCCATAGAACTCAATGCAAATTAAAACAGCTCGACCTCAGCTGACAGAGAACCTACAGCTTTCATAAAGGTCGGATTTTGTGGGGATTTTAGTGTCCCTTGTCATCCTGAACTTTTTTTCTTCTTAAATCCTTCGGTTTTATTTAAATCCACACTTTAGTGCCACAAACTCTGCTCCTCTGGCTCTCGCTCTAACTCCCGCTCTGATGAACTGCTCTGATTGGTCAGAGCGCGGCCGAGCCCCTTTGTGCACTTGAGCACATTCTGCCTAAAAACAAGATAATCTTGCTCCTTTATTTCATGAACAGGATTTATATGAATCACACTTCATTTCCCAAAAGGTTTTCACTGTAGAATTTCAAATAAACAAAGTGGACAGAAAAGGAAATATTTTTCACATTGTAATTATTAGCCTCACATTTAGCAAAATGGTCTGTTTCTTTTCATGATCCAGACTTTGTGTTAAACTTAGTCACATCAAGTCTCACTCTCTGTTTTCTCTGCAGTAAACACATCTGTATTACAACAATAACAACTTTTTCTATTCATTATTTAGTTGATGTATTTTTTATTTACGCAGTTCTTAAATTAAACAATAATACAACAAATAAATGCTATAATTCAATCATGAGCTGGAGCCAGTTTCCTAACGGGTAATTGTTCTGACGTTTTTAGCTTAATGCTCATAACAGCGGCAGACGTGTTGCAAACATGGTTGCTAAGATGGTAAGGTGTTGCTAAGGTGGTTGCTAAGAAGGTTGCTACTGAGATGGTTGCTAAGGCAAGCTAGCGTTCTGTAACCTCCACTTGTGCAGCATCTCCAAGCTCAGACACATGGTCTCAGACACATGGTCTCAGACACATGGTCTCAGACACATGGTCTCAGACACATAGTCTCAGGTCAGACACATGGTCTCAGACACATGGTCTCAGGTCAGGAGCTGGAGATGATTGTACCAGCTGCTTACATGTCTCAGTAAGAAAGACCTGGCTCGTTTACAAGTCGTTCAAAATTCTGCTGCGAGGCTTTTGACCCACAGTCACAGGAAAGCTACGACAGGAGAGAGCACCCACAGGAGAGCACCCACAGGAGAGAGCACCCACAGGAGAGAGCACCCACAGGAGAGAGCACCCACAGGAGAGCACCCACAGGAGAGCTACGACAGGAGAGAGCACCCACAGGAGAGCACCCACAGGAGAGAGCACCCACAGGAGAGAGCACCCACAGGAGAGAGCACCCACAGGAGAGCTACGACAGGAGAGAGCACCTACAGGAGAGCACCCACAGGAGAGAGCACCCACAGGAGAGAGCACCCACAGGAGAGAGCACCCACAGGAGAGCACCCACAGGAGAGCTACGACAGGAGAGAGCACCCACAGGAGAGCACCCACAGGAGAGCTACGACAGGAGAGAGCACCCACAGGAGAGCACCCACAGGAGAGAGCACCCACAGGAGAGAGCACCCACAGGAGAGCACCTACAGGAGAGAGCACCCACAGGAGAGCACCTACAGGAGAGAACCTACAGGAGAGAGCACCCACAGGAGAGCACCCACAAGAGAGCACCTACAGGAGAGCACCTACAGGAGAGAGCACCCACAGGAGAGCACCTACAGGAGAGCTACGACAGGAGAGAGCACCTACTGTACAGGAGAGAGCACCCACAGGAGAGCACCCACAGGAGAGCACCCACAGGAGAGCACCTACAGGAGAGAGCACCCACAGGAGAGCACCCACAGGAGAGCACCTACAGGAGAGAGCACCCACAGGAGAGCACCTACAGGAGAGAACCTACAGGAGAGAGCACCCACAGGAGAGCACCTACAGGAGAGAGCACCCACAGGAGAGCACCCACAGGAGAGCACCTACAGGAGAGCACCTACAGGAGAGAGCACCCACAGGAGAGCACCCACAGGAGAGCACCTACAGGAGAGCACCTACAGGAGAGAGCACCCACAGGAGAGCACCTACAGGAGAGCACCTACAGGAGAGAGCACCCACAGGAGAGCACCTACAGGAGAGCACCTACAGGAGAGAGCACCCACAGGAGAGCACCTACAGGAGAGCACCTACAGGAGAGAGCACCCACAGGAGAGCACCCACAGGAGAGCACCTACAGGAGAGCACCTACAGGAGAGAGCACCCACAGGAGAGCACCCACAGGAGAGCACCTACAGGAGAGCACCTACAGGAGAGAGCACCCACAGGAGAGCACCTACAGGAGAGCACCTACAGGAGAGAGCACCCACAGGAGAGCACCCACAGGAGAGCACCTACAGGAGAGAGCACCTACAGGAGAGAGCACCCACAGGAGAGCACCTACAGGAGAGCACCTACAGGAGAGAGCACCCACAGGAGAGCACCTACAGGAGAGAGCACCCACAGGAGAGCACCTACAGGAGAGCACCTACAGGAGAGAGCACCCACAGGAGAGCACCTACAGGAGAGCACCTACAGGAGAGCACCTACAGGAGAGAGCACCCACAGGAGAGCACCTACAGGAGAGCACCTACAGGAGAGCACCTACAGGAGAGAGCACCCACAGGAGAGCACCTACAGGAGAGCACCTACAGGAGAGCACCTACAGGAGAGCACCTACAGGAGAGAGCACCCACAGGAGAGCACCTACAGGAGAGCACCTACAGGAGAGAGCACCCACAGGAGAGCACCTACAGGAGAGCACCTACAGGAGAGCACCTACAGGAGAGAGCACCCACAGGAGAGCACCTACAGGAGAGCACCTACAGGAGAGCACCTACAGGAGAGAGCACCCACAGGAGAGCACCCACAGGAGAGCACCTACAGGAGAGCACCTACAGGAGAGAGCACCCACAGGAGAGCACCTACAGGAGAGCACCTACAGGAGAGCACCTACAGGAGAGAGCACCCACAGGAGAGCACCTACAGGAGAGAGCAGAGGTGTGGACTCGAGTCTGACTCGAGTCATGATTTTGATGACTTTAGACTCGACTTGACCAAATATAAAAAGACTTGCAACTCGACTTGGACTTTAACATCAATGACTCTGACTTTCACTTGGACTTGCGCCAATTGACTTGCAAAGACTTGCGTAACCCGGGCCATTTTTACCTTTCTCCGCATCTCTCTTTCTATCGATGCCGTCTCTGAAGAAACAAAGCCTCGCGGTAGTTGTAGCGCTCGCGAGAGAGTTCGAACGTGAGTTCCCCGCAGTTCGCGCAGCAACACTTCCCTAAACAAGCGGACTGCATTCACCGGTGGGTGTGTTGTCGTAGGGGAGCTGGAAATGAGCGAGCTGCAGGTATTTATCGCGACCTAACGTCATATTTTGTTCTACAAACCGTAATTGATATGCTTTCACTACAGGCGCCTCATACAATTGAATCGACGCAGTTGTCACACTGTGTGCCGTGTTTTAAAGAGGAACTGGTGAGTCAAACTAGCGCTAGCCTGCGCTGCTCTGTTGGCTCTTTCTTATATTTTTCTGTGTGGGCGCCGAGGCCTATTATTATGAGTATGTTTTTGCTGTGCTCCTCCTGCTAAAGTTTGCATACATTAGATAGTTGTTTTGATTATGTGCACTAAGCTAGATTAATATTTGCACTATTGTTTATGGTGCATTGATATGAGAATCAGTGCTTTGACTGATTGAATTAATTTATATGAGACATTTTATTATGTAATGATATATTGGTAATTATGAGATATTACTAATGCTGGTCCAGTTCATACAGGCCAGGGTCCTTCCCCTCCATTGGTTCCTTCAGTCCTTTGGAACAATAACCACTACGGACATTAAACTGATTATATAGATACAGGTCCTAGCCCAATACTCCTATTCATATATGCTGCACTGCTGCACTTGCTACTTCCCATTAAAAACCCCAAAGATAAAAAGTATGTTGACACGGACTGCTCTGATTTTATGTGTGGTCTGTGCATGTGTAACTGAGCCTGCATCTGGCACAACATCCAATTAGATCACGTAGATAGTTTTGATTTACCAGCAGCCAACGACATGGAACAAACTGTTAGTCCATGGGTCAGAGACCAACGAGAATGCACCAGCAAAATGATTCCTAACATTATTTTGTTTGCCTACAAAAGTACGTGGAGACCAACAAGAAACAAATCGCGGTCAAAAAGACTCGAGAGGACTCGAAAGTCAAACCGTAGGACTTGGGACTGACTTGAGATTTGTTGGCCTTTGACTTGGACTCGACTCGGGACTTGCCTGTCTTGACTCGTGACTTAACTCGGGACTTGAGGGCAATGAATTGAGACTGACTTGTGACTTGCTAAACAATGACTTTGTCCCACCTCTGGGAGAGAGCACCCACAGGAGAGAGCACCCACAGGAGAGCACCCACAGGAGAGAGCACCCACAGGAGAGAGCACCCACAGGAGAGCACCCACAGGAGAGAGCACCCACAGGAGAGCCCACATTACTCCTATCCTGAAGTCCTTACACTGGCTCCCTGTCTCACACAGAATACATTTTAAATTTCTAGTGTTGACATTCACGGCTCTTCATGGTCAGGGCTCTTCATGGTCAGAGCTCTTCATGGTCAGAGCTCTTCATAGTGAGAGCTCTTCCTGGTCAGGGCTCTTCCTGGTCAGGGCTCTTCATGGTCAGAGCTCTTCATGGTGAGAGCTCTTCCTGGTCAGGCGCCTGAATACATTCAGGGCCTGATCCACCCCTATGTCTCCAACAGGAGTCTGAGGTCCTCCACTCATAACCTGTTGATGGTCCTCCACTCAGAACATGTTGATGGTCCCCCACTCAGAACATGTTGATGGTCCTTCACTCAGAACATGTTGATGGTCCTTCACTCAGAACCTGTTGATGGTCCTCCACTCATAACCTGTTGATGGTCCTCCACTCAGAACATGTTGATGGTCCCCCACTCAGAACATGTTGATGGTCCTTCACTCAGAACATGTTGATGGTCCACCACTCAGAACCTGTTGATGGTCCTCCAGTCAGAACCTGTTGATAGTCCCCCGCACTCTCTCTAAAACCAGAGGAGACAGATCCAGGCAGTTGCTCCTCAGTCTCTGTGCATCTTAGAGACTGTTGATGACTTTAAGGCCTCTCTGTTTTTGTTTTAAATCTGACTTGTATGTGCATTTTCTGTGTTTTAATCTGTGAAGCGCTTTGTGATCTTAGTCTGTGAAATGCGCTATACAAATAAACTTTACTTACTGTACTTACTTAGCGTTACCCCTGCAATGTTTCCTGTTTCCTGATGTGTCCTGATGTGTCCTGATGTGTCCTGATGTGTCCTGATGTGTCCTGATGTGTCCTGATGTTTCCTGATGTGTCCTGATGTTTCCTGATGTTTCCTGATGTGTCCTGATGTGTCCTGATGTGTCCTGATGTGTCCTGATGTGTCCTGATGTTTCCTGATGTTTCCTGATGTGTCCTGATGTGTCCTGATGTGTCCTGATGTTTCCTGATGTTTCCTGATGTGTCCTGATGTGTCCTGATGTGTCCTGATGTTTCCTGATGTTTCCTGATGTGTCCTGATGTGTCCTGATGTTTCCTGATGTGTCCTGATGTGTCCTGATGTGTCCTGATGTGTCCTGATGTGTCCTGATGTGTCCTGATGTTTCCTGATGTTTCCTGATGTGTCCTGATGTTTCCTGATGTGTCCTGATGTGTCCTGATGTGTCCTGATGTGTCCTGATGTTTCCTGATGTGTCCTGATGTTTCCTGATGTGTCCTGATGTGTCCTGATGTGTCCTGATGTTTCCTGATGTGTCCTGATGTTTCCTGATGTTTCCTGATGTGTCCTGATGTGTCCTGATGTGTCCTGATGTTTCCTGATGTTTCCTGATGTGTCCTGATGTGTCCTGATGTGTCCTGATGTTTCCTGATGTTTCCTGATGTGTCCTGATGTGTCCTGATGTGTCCTGATGTGTCCTGATGTGTCCTGATGTGTCCTGATGTTTCCTGATGTGTCCTGATGTGTCCTGATGTGTCCTGATGTGTCCTGATGTGTCCTGATGTTTCCTGATGTGTCCTGATGTGTCCTGATGTGTCCTGATGTTTCCTGATGTGTCCTGATGTGTCCTGATGTGTCCTGATGTGTCCTGATGTGTCCTGATGTGTCCTGATGTTTCCTGATGTGTCCTGATGTGTCCTGATGTTTCCTGATGTGTCCTGATGTGTCCTGATGTGTCCTGATGTGTCCTGATGTGTCCTGATGTGTCCTGATGTGTCCTGATGTGTCCTGTCTGATGTGTCCTGATGTGTCCTGATGTGTCCTGATGTGTCCTGATGTGTCCTGATGTGTCCTGATGTGTCCTGATGTGTCCTGATGATGTCCTGATGTGTCCTGATGTGTCCTGATGTGTCCTGATGTGTCCTGATGTGTCCTGATGTGTCCTGATGTGTCCTGATGTGTCCTGATGTCCTGATGTGTCCTGATGTGTCCTGATGTGTCCTGATGTGTCCTGATGTGTCCTGATGTGTCCTGATGTGTCCTGATGTGTCCTGATGTGTCCTGATGTGTCCTGATGTGTCCTGATGTTTCCTGATGTGTCCTGATGTTCCTGATGTGTCCTGATGTGTCCTGATGTGTCCTGATGTTTCCTGATGTGTCCTGATGTGTCCTGATGTGTCCTGATGTGTCCTGATGTGTCCTGATGTGTGTCCTGATGTGTCCTGATGTGTCCTGATGTGTCCTGATGTGTCCTGATGTGTCTGTGTCCTGATGTGTCCTGATGTGTCCTGATGTGTCCTGATGTGTCCTGATGTGTCCTGATGTGTCCTGATGTGTCCTGATGTGTCCTGATGTGTCCTGATGTGTCCTGATGTGTCCTGATGTGTCCTGATGTGTCCTGATGTGTCCTGATGTGTCCTGATGTGTCCTGATGTGTCCTGATGTGTCCTGATGTGTCCTGATGTGTCCTGATGTGTCCTGATGTGTCCTGATGTGTCCTGATGTGTCCTGATGTGTCCTGATGTGTCCTGATGTGTCCTGATGTGTCCTGATGTGTCCTGATGTGTCCTGATGTGTCCTGATGTGTCCTGATGTGTCCTGATGTGTCCTGTTGATGTCCTGATGTGTCCTGATGTGTCCTGATGTGTCCTGATGTGTCCTGATGTGTCCTGATGTGTCCTGATGTGTCCTGATGATGTCCTGATGTGTCCTGATGTGTCCTGATGTGTCCTGATGTGTCCTGATGTGTCCTGATGTGTCCTGATGTGTCCTGATGTGTCCTGATGTGTCCTGATGTTCCTGATGTGTCCTGATGTGTCCTGATGTGTCCTGATGTGTCCTGATGTGTCCTGATGTGTCCTGATGTGTCCTGATGTGTCCTGATGTGTCCTGATGTGTCCTGATGTGTCCTGATGTGTCCTGATGTGTCCTGATGTGTCCTGATGTTTCCTGATGTGTCCTGATGTGTCCTGATGTTTCCTGATGTGTCCTGATGTTTCCTGATGTGTCCTGATGTGTCCTGATGTGTCCTGATGTTTCCTGATGTGTCCTGATGTGTCCTGATGTTTCCTGATGTGTCCTGATGTTTCCTGATGTGTCCTGATGTGTCCTGATGTGTCCTGATGTGTCCTGATGTGTCCTGATGTGTCCTGATGTGTCCTGATGTTTCCTGATGTGTCCTGATGTGTCCTGATGTTTCCTGATGTGTCCTGATGTGTCCTGATGTTTCCTGATGTGTCCTGATGTTTCCTGATGTTCCTGATGTGTCCTGATGTGTCCTGATGTGTCCTGATGTGTCCTGATGTTTCCTGATGTGTCCTGATGTGTCCTGATGTTTCCTGATGTGTCCTGATGTGTCCTGATGTTTCCTGATGTGTCCTGATGTGTCCTGATGTTTCCTGATGTGTCCTGATGTTTCCTGATGTGTCCTGATGTGTCCTGATGTGTCCTGATGTGTCCTGATGTGTCCTGATGTGTCCTGATGTGTCCTGATGTTTCCTGATGTGTCCT